ATTAAATAATAAAGTTTATATTTTCTTGGTAAACATTTATGATTTAATTTCCAATTCACCATTTCAGGTGGAGAGCCCTTAGCACTGTGAAGTCAAATATATAAGTATTACATAACATATACATTACTGTTATATTCTATAAAAGCAAATAGGAACCAAAAAGTTGGACCCTATCCCAGCTAATACAGTCTGAGTAGTTCGCTTTAGGTCTCTAATTCGTTCCACTTTTCAAGTCAAGCGAAGTAAATTTTTACAAACAACATAAATTTAATCCCTACTAATGAGTACGTGTAAATGGGCAACATACTTTTATAGTTAATAGTTCGATCTGAACAATTTCATCACAGATTTTCAGATCGGACATGGCTAAATCGACTCAACTCATCATACTGTTCATTTATACATGCGTATATGGTATATATAATTTACATTATATTCGTATTCGGTTCAGAGAATAAACAATTATGAATTATGAGAAAGAGGGGAAGCATTTTCTTTACATCGTAGCCTTATTTGATTGTCATTTTGTTGAAATGACGGAAAAGGAAGAAGAACTTTTAGTAGTTCCTATTGTAGAAGAAGAGTCGTGTATAGCATGCAATTTTTTTAATTTAATCAATGCGCGATCTCCTTTCACAAAACATAATCGAACCGACGACCATACATTTTTCTTATCTATGTACTATAATGGCGATATCGGGTGTTGAGATCAAATTATTCAAAGTCTTAATAAACTTTAAATAATAATAACGCAAATGCGAAGTCTATCAGGGATTTGATTACACACGATTTCACTGAAATCTTAAATGAAGAAGAAGCGTTTTATTCACAAAATTACACCAAAGGTTACCCCAGAAGTATAAGTTTCCACAAGTGCAAAGTATTTCGAAAGAGCGTCGCTTCGGTAAACACCCAGTTAAGCGTCAATGTCACGTCACAGTCCTTAACGCGTGTAATTGTGACTTCATCAACGTGAAGACATCTATGGCATTGCGGGCATAAATTTAAGTTTCTTTTATTTATTTAGGCGCATTAATCACTTGGCTTTCCAATTATTTCTACTAAATGGCGTTAATAATTATTTGCTGAAAAGATTTTATTCATTTAGGAGTGTGTTTATTGGCTTATGCCGATTAACAATGTTAGCGAGGAAGGCTGAATGCTAGAATGTGCAATCGTAAATTAAAATTTAGTTTGAGTAAAATATATATATAAAGTACAGTAAAAAAAAAAACATTATTTTTGCATTAGATTAAAAGATGTTTGAATATAATTGACTCATGCAACTCGCGTAGAAGCAGTTGTCTATGTAAGAAAAATACTGGGGCAGGCGATTTCGCAAGCGAATTTTTTATCAGTAAAATCATTCTCATCGATGGGGTTGTCCTGATCGAACACAATTCCTCTCCTAATGGTCCAAGCTGTCCGCTTTTGGTCGATTGCTTCCTTAGGCGGTCCAATTGTTGACAAATTTGAATTAAGAGTAACCAACAATTTATGAATGGATCAATATTTAAAACTCGGTTCGTGAGGTTTTTCTGCGCAAATCCGAGTTGCAAAGTTCCTGTGCAATCTTACCCACATGCTGATGGGACTTAACGATTTCTGTTAATTTATCGATATTTTCGACAATTGGCTTTCCCGAGCTTTGTGCTTCCTTGACATCAAAATTTCCTTTACTAAATCGACGTTGTTGTTCTTCTTTGAAAAGTGTGTGATAGATTCAACACAATGCATTTTGTTGCCGGAATAGTTAAAATAAATGCATTTGCTTCCCTTATCCCTTATACCCAATGTAATAACGTAATGCTAAGTAATAAAATTTTCCATTTTTTGTACAGATATATTCAACCATCAGTATTTATGTTTTAATATTCTATACACCAAATATAATGGAGGTAAATTAAATCTGTACTGATGCCGTCATGTTAAGGAATTAGTCGTACTTCTTCTTCAAAGCCGTCAAGGACAATCTTAAGACCATTTTGTAAGTGGTTAAATAATTTTATTTCTTCATTTTAAATTTTTTAAAACTAATGCCAAGCATATTCAAGTACAGTTACCATTGTCATCTTGCTTGAGTGACTTTCGAGTTGTGCTATATATATAAACACTATGTGAAATTGGATTTTGTTGTCTAAAATGGAATAATTGCAAAGACATCTGACACCATTCATACCGTTAAATTTTGACTTTAAAAGCTGTCAGTTCACTGAGCTTAGAGCGTATTTGCGAATGGTAAGACTGAAGCTCAATTTATGTTTGTGTATGTTTATAAAGAAGACAAACAGATGGGATCATCCATATTGCACTGTGTTCACCACTTGCATGGAGCATTTTAAAGCTGCAAAATCCGAATTTTATTCTAGTATTTATTCTGTAGCAACAAGTTGCAATTATATAATTGTTTTGTTCGCCTAACAATTCGCCTATTTTCTTTTTCCACTAAATCAAGCCGTATGTCATGTATGTTAAATATTGACGTCGAAAACTTGAAGAGAGTCTGGTTTAAACCGTCTTGTTGAAACCAAATATCACCGAATTCACGAGCTCATCAAATAGTCGGTTATCATTGACAGTCACGCTTTCACTTGCTTCATTTTGAAGAAATGCGTACCGATGATTCCAACAAGTGTTCTGTTACAAAATTATATTAAAAAAGTATATCTACATTGATCATCCTTTAGTATAGATATATATAAAATTGCTTGGATTCCAATCGTCTGGTTGACGTTTAACACCAAGGTATATCCCTCGTTGCCCTTTCTGATCTGTTTCTTTTCGTTCTTATCTATTATTTCTATTTGCACGCAGAGCAACGAAATTAATACCAAACGAACACTGGCAAAACCGTTAGCCAAGAGAAATCTAAATTGACACGACTTTTCTCACCATTTTCAGTACATGTCATAACTGAAACCAACTCTCAAACTGGCATAATGTAATCGTCAGACGCATTCGGAATAAAGTAATGGACGGAACTGCCGTAAGGTCTATTTCTATAATTCGTTCTCCACAAATTTTAGTCATCTCATTCTTCAAAAAGTCCTCGAAACTCATCAAAAGATAATCTCAAAATTTGAACAAATTTCATTGAATTTTAGATGTCCTCAAATGAGATGGCTACCGGATGGGATGAATTAATCTGCATATTATTATTATATTAACATATAATATATTTTTAATTTTTTTTAAGAGATATAATCCCATTCATCCTAAATAGAGTTTGAGCACACCGTACAACAGATACTATAGTAGATTAGTGAGCGTCAACATTCTTTTTACAAACATGTTCCTTTTTGAACAAGTCCTCTTTATGAACTCTGTCAGACAGGCCTTATAAGAGTTGTACACGTTACACAGGGAACGGAACGAGGTTGTGTTTAGTTTGTGTGGGTGTTTCGAACATATTTTCCATAATGGAGGTGATTAAATATGATTAAGTTTATTCATTATGTGTAATAACGACCTTCATATAATATTTATAAAAGTGTATGTATGTGCAACATAACATTCATAAGATTGTTACAAAAATTCAGTTGACTTTTCAGACATTTTTTACATCAAACGTCAAGAGCCTGGCTCAGAAACAGCATATGTGTTTATTAATCTGGGAACAATGCATGTCTGGCAAAACTTTCTAGTGACAAATTTTCCAAATGGCTGCATATGAAAACCCACACTAAGAAGCAGCGGTGGCGAATCTAACAAAAACCCGACACACTTTGTCACTTCATTTTGGCCAGCAGCAGACAATGGCTAAGTGCTGGTGGCAAGTTGACAAATGCAGAATAATGAATAGAAACGACGATTTTGCACCAAAAACATAACGCGAGAAAAAATAAGCAAACATGCCCAAACCAAAATCAAGAGCAGTGGAAGAGAGAATTACCAGTAGAGGATAAGAGAGCTTATTGGTGTGAGAAGAGTGAAGCTCAGCGCTCAGCGAAACAGCTCTTTGGTTACAACACGCGTGCTTGTAGCGTGTCTTCAGTAGCAAACGGAAAAATAAGGCTCTTCTCAGCCAAGTCCGCAGTACTAAAGACGGCTTAAAGTGATCAGTTAACGAACTCACTTGAAAGATAACAGTCGCGTGTGCGGAAAACAAAGTGCTAGCCAAAATTCGTCAAATGAAGTAGAAACTTTACCGTTCGATTTGCCTTGAACTTGGTCTTTTTTTGTTTTTTGTTTTTGTTTTTCGGCGCTTGGTACAAGTTCAGTGTGAGTTAAGTTGCAGCAACGGTGGCAATAAGCTAAAATCGACTTGAAAACATGCCAAAAACCTGTTGCTAAACGAGCTTAACGGTTGTGTTTGTGTGTATTTACGTTTGCATGGGTGAGCAAGCGGCGCCTCAACTATTCGAACGCTCGAAAGTAATCGCTCTAATTTCCCGTGCAAGCGCCCTTCGTGCCGCTGCTGTAGCTTCCGGCTTTTTTATGTACAAATTTGTAGAAATTGGCGAATTTATCAATTTGCTTAATACTATTCGTATTTGCTAACTGTTAATTGGACTTTCTAAATAAGTAGATTACATGCCAGCTAATTTCATTATTGTGAAACTGCACAAACAAAACAATAATATCCAAAAACGATATGGTGGCAAGGGTTAATGAAACTTCTCAAACAATTGCATTAAAACTTTCAGAAGTTGTCAGAAATAAAATAAAACTATTTTGAGGCAGTTAGATGATATATATTATCAGTAGTAAATCAGTGTGCCAGCAAAATAAGGAATGTTATTATTTAAAAACAAAATTTTAGGTGCTCGCATACACAAACACATACACCCAACTGTTTTGCTCTGCGAAAATAAAAGGCATTATTTCTTGCGTGCCGCATTCGTCTCGAGTGAAAGGAGTTAAATGCACTGGAAAACGACACAACAGCAGCAACAACATTGCATTTGCTTACTGACGTGAAGCTGGATCCTTTTCCATGATAACTTGTTTTGTTGATTTAGGGGCAGACAAATGCAGTTGCAGCATCAAGTGGACGCCTGAGCTGAAATATATTCAATTTTTTCTCCTTATATCTTGCAGTTATTTTTACGTACTGATGTGTGTGCGTGTGTTGTTAAAAGTGAAAAAGTAAAAAAATTTAAGTGCTGTGAAGAAAAATTAAATACATACATACAAAAGTATATATATACACAGAAAAACGTAAAAAGTGTTCACAAAATGCTTTTGCTGGAATGGTGAAATCTTTGGAGCAGAGAATTCGAAAGATAACAGCTTCTGATATTTCACTCCCTATCAATGTGCTTCACGAAGAAGCATAACGAATTTCATTTTTCAACCGAAAGTGCAAGGTTGTAAGGAATTGCCAAGGAGAAAGTGATGTGCCTCCCAAAAGCAGAAGTGGTAAGTAAGCGCAATATATATACATTTCTATAATTATCCCTAGAAATTGTTAAATTCCAAACGATGTGCGCAAATATTTTGCATATTTCGGTATTTATTTGTGCTTATCAGTTTATGGCAAGTTAACGAATGGCGAATTCGTCATGTACTATAAAATCATTAACTTGATCAGCTATTGTTTAAAATTTTACTTCTTATGTGACTTCATATAACGAAACAAATTATGGTTTTTTAATAATGTATTCATGCTCTTTAATCTTCTTATTTCCTGTACACATATACACCAAATAGCGTGATACAGATATTACTAGACACGAATGTAAGTGAGATTATTACCCACGGCAGTCTTTAGACAGGAAGGTTCGACGTCGAGAAGCTGCAATCACAGCAGACAGTGGAACGATTTTCGAATCGCCTTGCACTCCTCATTTTTGAGATGAATTTTGTTATGCAGAATATCTCTTGCCAACAGGTGCTACTTCGGACTAAGTGGGCAATTGAGAAGTAAAGTCCTCTCTCGACGAACAAAAACTAAACTCTGTAAGTCACTCATTATTCCCGTCCTGCTAAATGGTGAAGAGGCAGGGACGATGATAACATCTGATGAGTCGACGTTACGAGTTTTCGAGAGAAAAGTTCTGTGGAAAATGTATGGTCCTTTGCGCGTTGGCCACGGCGAATATCGCATGAATCTACCTAACGACTGATATGCGATAAGATTTTAACCGCGTGGACACCGATTGAGCAATAATCGTTTGAAACCTAAAACCAGATAAAGTCTGAAGTTTTATTGTTCGTTCACTACAATTGCAGCTAATATTTTCTTTTTCCCTATTAAAGACGGACTACTTTTGACTATCATTATTTCTACGATATTTTGGATCTTACAAATAATATTTATATAACATAAGACGCGTATTCATCTTCTCGCAGAGATGCCTTACTAAGAAAGAATACGGAAGCAGACAATAATTGAAGATGATTACCCGACAGTTGATAACGGGGTTCGTTTGAACGGTTCCAGATTCGTTTTAAATAAATGTAATAAGTATATATTATAACAGAATATTTTGTATGATCACGTCAACATTGACCCGGTTTTGATGGTATACTAAATAACTTTGTATAATTTCTAAAAATACCTTTTACATATAATATATACATTCACATAATCAAGTCTATGTGCACAACATATATACTTTTATGCCCTAAACATGGTATATTCAATTTCCATGAAGTTTTTAACACCCAGAAGGAAACGTCGGAGGCCTTATAAAGATATGTTTATATTGATTGTCAAAAAAGTCTTGCGGTATTTTTATTGAGTTTTCAATTCCTCATACATTTTTTTTTTTTTTTTTTTGTTTGATGATCATGCCCAGCTCTTGACCGATGCTACGGCTGCTATTATGCCAGTCTCTTTCGACCAATTCAGCGATTTTATCGCAATTTTCGACGACAAGCCTTCCGGAACGTGGCGCATCTTCGACCACCTCTACACCAGAACGAAAACGTTGAAACCATCGTTGTGCGGTGGAAATGGAAACTGTATCGGGTCCATAAACTGCACAAATTTTATTGGTGGCTTGAGATGCATTTTTGCCTTTATCGTATTAGTACTGTAAAATATGCCGTATTTTCTCTTTATTTTGCTCCATGTTTGCCACGCTTTAACTCACGAAGGACTTAATAGAAACGGCAATCAATCAAAGACGTGTTAGCGCGGAAATGAGCTTTCCAAAAAGATATAGCATGATCCGACGCGACGAATAAAACTAGAACTACGCGCTTTCAGCGCCAACTAGCGAAAATACCGCAAGACTTTTTTTGACAACCTAATATAAATGATCAGGCTAACGAGCTGAGTGATTTTGCGATGTCCGTCTATCTGTATCTTTTGTATTTCTGTGCACCAAAGTAACGTTGTTTTGTTTTTATTATTTGTTAAATATAAGATATATAATAACCTTCATGTTTTCAAACACAAAGGGCGAAAATACTAAGATATATAAAACTCTTAAATGCAAAGTAGATTGACTTTCCAGGAAATTTAACTTTTTAAAGAAAAATTAAAACAACTTCAGTTGTACATAATATCTTAAGCCAAATGTCTTTTTAATGAGTAATTTGAATAACTCTTTTCGCCTTCACAACCCGTTTCGTGTTAATATCTTCGCATCGTTTATTACCCAGTCGCTCAAACTCTGCAAGTCGTTGTCATTAGACACATAGCCACCACTGAGAACTTTTCAATTAAAATAAAAATACGAAAAGGCAACGTAAAAGGGTCCATGCCTAGCGGAATAATTTCTTAATCGCATCTGCTTTGATATTAACCACTTTGTCGAGTTAAGATATTGAAAGCATTTCCATTGTTTTATATTGTATAATCTTTTATGTTCACCACGCACTCGACCATTGATGACACTTTCTTTTATTCAAAAGTACTAAAACGCGTGGTTGTGAAACCGAAAAGTTGAGACACAAAACAAAAAGTCATCCGAATTCACCAAAATACCAGCCCTAAAAAATCCAAAATAAAAAGAAGCAAGACGGTCTTCACACAAGCTCAAGTTCATACACAGCAAAATCTCCAGCTGTAGCCTAAACAGTCATACAATCCCAACTAAATTAAATAACAACAACAAAAGCAAGATAACCAACCTTTCCAACTTGTTGTGCATACATACGCACACTTATAGGTATGTGTAAGTGTTTCATTGCCCCGCTTCAGCTGTGTGCAGCAGAGTGAAAAGTTTTCATTTAATATGCACAGAGCTGTTAATTATAAAGTCGTCACCGGTCGACAGGGCTTACAGCGATGGGATGTGAGTTGGAAGGCAATGAAATTAATTTTATGAATGTTTTATGACTGTGTGATTGAATAAAGTCTGAGGTTAGGAATCGAATAACAAAAAAATGCACTGGCTTTTTCTGAAATCTGCTTTACTCGCCTTTAATCAACTCACAGGAAACTCACGTCAGAATTGCACTGACAAATTTAAAATTTTCATGCTGATAATAAACGTAAATAGTTGTTGACATAGGTCAAAAAAAAATTAATTTTTTAGCGCATGGACTTTACTTAATGAAATAACATGAACAATTTTCTTTAGTAAGGAAGGTGATTTCTATTTTTGTTATAACGGAAAAGGTATTGATAGCTCAAAAAAGAAGAAAATTTTAAAAACTTGTTTTACTACACAATGCGAACAATTCCCCATCTATTTCATTTATTTATACTATCGACAGCAATGAAATACATGAAATTTCGGTGGGAAGTTAATAGAGACTTGTGAAATAGTCCTGTTATTTTTGCCTGTGAGACATGGGCGGCATGTACCGATTACGAAATGAGAAAGTGCAATGTTAAAAGGGAAGCAATTATCTATCATAAAACTATATTAATGCCCCAATTGTATATTAAATTGGGTCTTATTAAACAATTATTAATGGCTCTCATTCATGAGTCCAAAGCTTTCAAATATTTGAATATTTTTTTCAACGCTTTCAGTGGCAAAAATATAATCTGGAACCTTTGTAAGTTCCTTAGCAATGTGTAGAAAACAGCCTGGAAAGGAAGTGCATGGTTTCCTTGATAACGATAGGACTGTCAATTGTGACATGTTACATGCTCCTTCAGACAAATAAATATTCTTATTATAATTAGTATTAATTATTTACTCAATACCAGGAATTATTTATGAATGAATAGATATCCTCTGCAATGAAAGTCGAAACGGTCAATGCTTAAAATTCGTGCGGAATAAATAGTCAGAGTAAGGTCCAATCTTGAACTCTCTCTCTCTCTGATGATTTGTCGTTAGCATCTCATAGTTTTTAAGAACGTGGTTCCATTTACGTTGTGTCCTAAAATTGACGAATTTTTATCTCTACTTCATAAATTATTTGCGTTTCACAGATTAAGTAAAAGTTCTTTTCACCCGATAAGAATATATTGTTATGTGTATCTAGTCTTCTAAAGCACAATTGAATTCGATTTCATCAAGATAAATGTCTTAGTTCAGCAACAATGAAGTTCACTGGCTTTCCCCGTCTCACACCGATGGACATTCACAGCAAATGTTTATAGCTGAAATGACTTATCTACGAACTTTTATGCATTCTAAACGAATATAAATGCTTTCAGCCGTATACCGGAGAGGGTGCTGAGTAATGCAACAAATGAATGAAAGTCATGAATTGAATTGACAGCAAAAACAATTCAGTCATCCTTCTCACAAATACTTTAAAAATACGCTTGGTCTTGCCACTTTAAGTTGTTGATGCATAGAAATGCTATATATGTACTATATGCGTATGCAAATATATAAGTATACTAACATTTTATTGCGAACATGTTTTTGTCCGTATAGGAATCCAAGAGATTGTACTTGAGATTTAACTATGAATATGTTCATACTAATAAAACTCATTGAAAAAATAATCAATTTAAGGCTGCTTTCTCAATGTCTGGTTACCAGTCTTTCTGTCCCGTTGATAGAATTATCCGCTTAATAGAGCTTTCACTGTATTTTTTATTTATGCATGTTTGTTACCATCTTATCTTCTAAGTTGGCTCGCACTGGATGGCTCGCACTGGATCCGGTGTGCTAAATTTTACTAAAATCGCTTCAGTAATTTAGGAGTCCATCGCGGAGAAACAACGTGATACGTGACTTTTTTTATATAAAGATGAGTTGATTTAAGGGCGACGAGTGTGAAATGATAAATAATAATATTTTCTGTTTTCATCTTGAAGGAGTGAATATATAATGACATCCAAAAAATAGGAATCTTGATTGCAAAATTTTACCTCATGTATTTATATTGACCCTGACCGAATAATTATAACGGCTCCATACTGAAATCATTATTGAATCTCGCTAAACACCCAATTTATTATTGGTTTAGATTGGCCCACTACTCCAACTCATCCTTATACTCGTATAATTATTTTTACTTTAATTTCTTCCATATTTATAAAAATACCCTACGAA